ATAAAAACTATGTTCACAAAAAGATGGTAAAGTTGACTTGTTCAAATTTACAAATTGGTTCCTCCATGGTTGGGCTGGGATATGGGCAAAGATATGAAACTAACATTAAAATACTGAATTATTTATTTATCCACCTTAAGTCTTTTGGGAATATAAATATATATATATATATATATATATATATATAAATCAAACACACATATAGACACATAATGCATACCTATAGATTTCTAGTTCTTACATGACCTATCTTTTTCATTCACTTGAAAAAAAAGTAGAGGGAAAGAGAGAAAGAAATAGTTGACATTTTAAGGAAAATATGGCTATAGTTAAATTGCAAATCTGATCTTTCTTTGGACGGGAAAATGGAAAAAAATTCTGAGCCATAAATCTGATTTGAGTCAGGTTCCTTAGTAACATGGTTGCTGATTTTTCTCATATTGACAGACATTCTTTCCATTTAATTGTTTTTTTTTTTTTTTTTCCAAATGGTTTACCTCACCTTTGGACCACAAGGAAGATTAGCAGGTGGTGTCCCATAGAGTCATATGTTTTCATTAAATTTTTTATGAAAACCAAAGTAAATTATGCTGATCAAAATGACAGGTGGGATGCAAAATGTCTCACAGATTTATAGATAAAATCATTTAAGTTATAAATATATCCATTCATCTAAAAAATACTGATGAGGTGTAAAAGGCAATAATTGGAACAGGTGGAAGAAGGCAGCACAGAAAGTCGCCCATGAAATTAACTGCAGCAGACATAGTAGAAAGAAGAAAACAAAGCAGTGGCAAATGTGCTTTTCCTATGGGGAGGCCAATGATTTAGTGCAGAATGGTAAGGAAACTATTACCAGCAACCTTGTGGAAGTGTAAAGAGTGCAACAACATATTGATGACTTCTTTAGAAAGAGAGGCTATTACTACTTATAAAAATATATTTATCTAGCTATGATAATCAAGGGTTATATGTCTTATTCCTTTGAAATCTGACATGTGATCTTAAAGAATTTTGAGCAAATCAATAGTTTCTCTGAATAGTTTGGTCTGTCTCAGGCAGTGAAGACTTCAGTTCATTACCAAATTAATGAAGAAAGCATCACTATGAAAACACCCTCAACATCACATTTTGCAGCATACAACAGACACTGGACTTCAGCCTAAGATTATTTCTCTTTAATGTTACATGACACATCATAACAAAATTTGCGATGGCAGCCAAGGTTGAGAGATTGTCTACATATTGTAATTATCTTTGTGGGCATACCTAAAGTGACTTCAAATTTTAATCACTTAAAGTAAAAAAAAATGAAAAAACTAAAAATACAGTTCTTGCCAAATAATTTTTACTTTTCATTAGGGATGTTAATACTCGATTTTTCAAGCTCATTTGAAAAATAGCTCACTTAAGGTATAGCATTTTTTCTTAGTTAATCATCAATAAAATTCTGACAGAGAATTTGAAGCAGTAAAGCTAAAACTGTCCTTATTTTTCTTATTAAGTTTAAGGGGCAACCAAATCTGGAAAAAGAAGGCTTTTATAAGATGTAAAACCACAAAAACAAACACAAATATTTAAGGAGTGCACATATGTGCTGATTTTAACACGTTTGGCAGTATGCAAGGATTATAAGAGCATTAATATTTCCTGAAATTAAATCACATGAAAAGAAGAAAGTCTTTAAAAATACCACTTCATACATTTCATTTTAATTTATATAAACAAAACAAGTCCAATCCAATCATTCATCTAATTACTGTTTACTGAGTGTTTATCAAGTGCCAGATAGTATCTTAGTACTTAGGGATTTGGCAGTGAGTGAAACAGAAAAGGCCCTGCTTTCATGGAATTTACAGTACACAGATATAAGAAGAACATAAATATAAATGTCAGTTATCGATAGATGCAAGGATGAAGAAAAATGAGTTGGGGGTAAAATTTTAAATAAGTTGGTTATGGAAGGCCTCAATGAAAACCAGATATTTGAGAACATCTTAAAGGAGGTGAGAGAGGTAGCCAAGGGGAAAACCTGGCAGAGGTGGAAAGGGAACGATTCTAATTAGAAGAAATGACAAGGCTTGATGCATTAGCACACATGTTTTGAATTTAAGAAATAGCTAATGAGCCAGTATGGCTAGAACAAAGTGGGCAAGAGAAGAAACTAGCAGGAGATAAGGTGAGAAAGATAAAAGAGTCAGATAGTCCAGGGCCTTTAATACTGTTTCAAGGACTAATTTTTCTTTTGAAGGAAGTGATAAACCATTGCAGCATTTTGAGCAGAGAAATGATCAAACTGAGACTCATTTTAGCTTCTGTGTCGAGAGCAGACTAAAGGACAAAAAGACTAAAGGGAGGAAGGAGCAATACTGGTTAGTAAAGTATTAAAATAGTCAGAGATTCAGATAAGAGAAGAAATAATATGACATCCGTAAGGAGTATATGCTAGCAAAAGGACATTTACATCATGAAATTCTATGATGGTTCTATTTTGTACATTCAAAAGAAATCAAAGATAGATAAACACAAAGCTATGGGTAGTTGCGCCAATGAATCCCAATCTCTCGCTCAGTTTCTCAACCTGAGAAAATTTTTTAAACCAGGAAACCTCTAATTGAAGAAAAGGCCCAGTCTCCCCAGAGGAAAGTACCTTGAAAAGTCATGGCAAGAATACAAGACAATCCATTCTCCTAGTATTTCTCCAAAGTTGCCTAAAGTCCTTTATTCAGGTAACTGTACAAGGGGACAGAGAACACTCAAACATTTCAAAGGCATACAATTGACCTGCAGTGTTAATTCAGCATCTGTCCTAATCAGAGTAGAGGCTTATATTCAGAAGTCATAAATGGAGCCCTGGCCAAGGTCTAGCTCAAAATAAGTCAAATAAGATCACAGACTCTCCTGGTGAGGATTTCCACAGTTCCCAAATGTATAATCAGAACAGATATACTTGTAGGTGCCACAACATCCATATCAATATGTAATGGCAAAATTGTGGAGGAAGCCTATAGGAAGAATTTGAACCTGCCCTACCTCAAACTTCCCAAGAGAGCAATAAAAAACAAACAAAAACAATATAGTATTGAATGAGGGGGGGGGAACTGGCAAAAATCAGTGTTCCCTTAAGTATCCAAATAGTATGCAGGAGTGGTCCCAATAAAGTTATCCAAACTTCTCAGAGGGTCAGGTTCTGATTCCTGGGTAACCCAAAGTGCAACAGTCATTTTCCATCTTGAATTTAAGTAACAATTTCTTTTTAAATGATCTTGCACTTATCTTCAGGAATATGTTCCAATTTATTTGGGTAATGCTAGTAGGTATCACTTTTAGAAAACTTTTCCAAAGTAATGGTTATGCTAGGAAGTATTTCTGAAAAGTCTTTGGAATTTTTCTCTAGGAAGAACCTGTAAGTATAACCACTGATTTACAGATGCTCGCTGCATTAAAAATTATTGTTGACTTTTGTCAATCCCCATTTCCTTATCAAAGATTTTAACTAACCCCTCACTTGAATTTTTTTAGTCTTTCTGATTCTAATTGATACAGTACATTCAAAAGTTTTTCCAGAAAGTCTTTCATTGATTCCATTTTTCTTTTATTTCATCACAAGTATATGTATGTAATTTAACTTCTTGGTAAATATGCTGACATTTGTGTGTATAAAGATAGACTTTATACAAATAGGGAATAAAAACAAGTATGTTAAGAACTGCATTTTCCTATTTTCAATGTTACTGTCTAGAAAGTTAGATAATTTCAAAACATTATATAAGGAATTACAAAACATTACAAAGGAAGGGATTTAAAATTAAATAGAAAAACTACCAGAAATTAACCCTACTATGCAATCTTTAACCAATCTTCAACTTAAATTTTACAGAGTTTTTCAACTATTGTTATGAATAAGAACAGCTTAGTCAAATAATTTAATAAATAAAAACAATTGGTAAATCAGAAATATGTTTTTCAACAGTAGTCCATACTTTCTGGTAAGTAAACTGCACTAAAACTGCAGGTAATGAGAGATTCAATATATTATATAGTGCAAACTGATGAAAGCATTTTCTGCTATTGAATAAAACTTCTTAAAATTAAACTGCATAATAAAAAACAAACACGTCTCTAGTTACAGTTGATTCTAGTGATGCATTTATTTCTATGAAAAACAAAAGCAACATATGTTTTTAAATAGTTCATGGTTTGTGTGGCTATACAACACAGGGGATGGCTGATCACTAGTTTAACAAAATTCTCTCAGAATACAGGGCCTCCCCTGGTGGCACAGGGTTGTGAGGCTGCCCACAGCCTCTGCAGCGTCAGTTCGATCCCCAGCCAGTGGTGAGGGTCCCACAAAATTCTCACAGACTACATTATTAAGTTCTTGAAGGCAAAAAAATGGAAAATTTCACAGTAGCACATGGCCCATAATTAAGAGCTACCTAGACTAGATAAAATACAATATTGCATTTCAACCAAATACTGCAGGCTTAATCACAGATTTGTGGGTTATGACTAGATGTCTTGATTCTTATTCCATTCTAGACCCTTGTGGATGGCACTATCTCATACTCAGTCCCCACTTCTGCTTTTCTTGCCACAAAAGGGTCATATATACCCACAAAGACAATTGAAGATTGAGTTTTATCAGCAGCCAGAAACAAAGTACAGAGTACAAACAACTGTAAAATATTTGATTGGGTAATGTAGCAACTGGCCACTGGTTCATTCACCATAATTACACATTTCAACATAACTACAGGATACATAGATTCTTATAAGAGAAAAGAATCTTCAGGGAAGCAATAGAGAAAACCTTTTTTGGGGTAGTCACATGACATTATCATGTGGCCACTAAGTTATAAGGACATGTGTGTGCATTTCATTTAAATCACTCTAATCATTAAACATACTATACCAAACTTGGATTTTTTATAATTTTTCTATCATCTTTAAATTTTTGAAATTAACTCAAATATAGATAAAATAAAGATAATACATACTTGGAAGAAACTGCCTCCATGAACTCATCCAAAAAAGCATCATACTCAGGACCTCTCACTCTTCTCTGCCGTAATCCAATGTATAATGGGTCTTTAAGTAATTCCTATTAAATAAAAGTAACCATAGATATATAAATAACTACAGGTAATTCATTTATTCTTTCTCAGTCTCAGTCTCCTTATCTGTATGATAAGGATAGAAATGGAAATAAAATCTTTCCATCCTGATTTAGAATCAAGCTGTAACTAGTATTTAATATTATATAGGATATTTTATGGTAATTATATGCAGGTTACATGATCAGTAAATATTAAAAATATTCTGCTTTACTCTGGGAGAAAGAAAAGAAAATATCTGTGATGTTAGTTAGGAAAGCTCAGTTGAGATTTTAAAGATAAATTTTGTCACAGAAGTAAAAGCTTTAAATGCTTGTATTAATTCAGGATACAGAAAGAAAGCAATTCTTTTCTTAGATGTATTTTCTGTTTCTAAAAAAATTTAAACAAATATTTTGATTTCACTTTAAAATGATAGTGAGAAAATATTTAAAAGTTTTCAGACTTGGCTAAAGTTTTCTATCAGTTTCTAAAACTGATAGAAAAGTACAATGGGGCAAGAAAAAGAAAAAAAAACAAGAAAACAGCTTGGAAAGAGGTCAACTCTTGGAAAGAGGTCAACTCATAGTCATGTGCCTAGAAATACTAAGAAATTTACCAAAACATCCACTAGAAGAAATACATAAACGTAACACAATCATACACTATATGGTAATAGACACAAATCACTGCATCTCTCTTTACATGCAATGAACATTTGAAAGTGACATAAAATGTATAACTCCATTTATGAAAGCATTCCAAAGAATTTAAAAGGCAAACTGCTTTGGCAGAGTGGAAGACCTATGTCATGTATAGTGGAACAACTGACAAAACAGTAACCTTGAATAACCTGAAATAAATAAAATGTACTAGTGAATTTATAAATCTAGGTAAAGAGACTTCCAAGCAGAATGTTGAAAGATATAAATTAGTTTCTCAGAGCTATGTGATAATAAGGTTAATAAAGAGATGAGCTAAGGAAGGGACTGTCCAGCCCATGAGCAAAATTTAAAGAGAAAACAGAAAACTCAACATAACACAGGGTCAGTCAAAACCAAACCAATAATAAACTCTTAACTTCTGACTGTAAAACTGAGGCATCCAAAGGGGAAGAGTGATAGGGTGGGTGTAGAGGGGGAGGGCCCAATGGAACTAGGTGAAGGATTTGGGGGGCACTGCAGCTCAGCAGGGTGTGAAAGTATGTATCTGTAGAGGTTGGAACCTACAACCCATAGAACAGATACAAAGGTGTAAACCTATCTTACCTCGAAGAACGTAATTTCGAGACAATAAATAGTTTCCTTTGTTTAAAAAAAAAAATAGAATTGTTTGTAAAAGATTTCAGCAGTCAAAGGTCAAATGAAGTGTGTGGTTCTAACAACTTTTTTGTAAACCTCTTAATAAGTTTAAATGTAGTCTAAGACCATTTTCTCTCTCTTTTTTTTTTTTTAGACCATCTAGGATAGACAGAAATACTCTGATATGTCAACCAATGTGTCGAAACTGTCTGTTTTGAAAAGAATTATGAGTGGGTTCTTTCTCTAAAGGGGTGGACAATGAGCTGATACATAGAAAGCCTAACATTTAAGGTCTGTACTACTTGCATTAAATGGGAGAGAGACACATAAAAATGAAAACACTTTTCTGTGTCCCCAAATTTCCATAGGCAGGAAGCAAAGCTGAGAAAGGCATTTAGCTACAACAGTCATTTCTTAGGAAACGGAAGTATATCTCAAAGGACAGAGCAAAGTGCTTCAGGGGACAATGAACTATAGAACCATTGTAAGGAAACAGAACTGGACCCTCTTCAAACAACATTCACTACCCCCTAAATTAGGTGGCCTAGCAACCTGTGTCCAGTAAGATTTCTGAATTGTGATGAGCCATTTAGAGCTCTATTATTTCTATGCCTCCCGGTTTGAATGAGAGCGGTGACTGTGTTTTTTCTGTGCCTGCCTCGCCACTGTATGTTTGGTAAATTGCTATGAACCATTTAGAAACATGATTCCTATTCCTCCAATTCTGAATGGGTGTTGATTGCAGTTTTCTGTACCTGACTCACTACTGTGTTTGATGTGTGGGAACTGATGAGAGGAGCCACACCAAGGAGCAAAACAAAAGAAATTCTACTTGTACCTTTTGTACCTATACTTCATAGAGAAGACAGGATTCTGAACTTTGGGGCCACTGTTACTATTGGGATGGAACTGTGGCTAGTGTAGATGAATATGTGTATACTTTGCATGTGGAAGACAAACAATTTAATGAAGATCTATATAGAAAAAGGTCTGTCCCAAGCATCCCAGCCTTCCTAGCCATCCCAGCAAATAACAAACAACAAAATTATTATAATTATTTTAAGTCACAAAGTTTGGAGGTGTTTTGTTACAGATAAATGATATTTTCACAGGTGTGGTAAAGTTAAGAAAGTGAAAACATTTGAATCTTTCGAATTGGGATTCTCCAACAGAAATTACAGCCCAGTTCACACCTGTTGTCCTAGTGTAATTAATAGCATCCTCATTTATTACTAGAGTGTCTTGGTTTGGTCAATACATTATGTGGCCATCCTACTTACAGTGTAGTGCACAACAATGAGTTAAAGTTTTCCGACTTGCTGGAAATTAGCATACTTAATCATATAAATATATTTCAGATGAAAAGTAAAATCTGAAACTGAGTGTTGTTGTAAAGCCCAGCTGTTCCTTGAGGCATAAAAACTTTAAACAATCTACTGGCAAGCTTCTGAACAGCTGAGGTTGAAGCGCCAATGAGCTACTAATGGCTGCCAGAATTAAAATATTTTCCCCATGTCTGGAATATATTTGGACTTCTAAAATGTGAATCAGAAAAAGAAGACAATTGAGAAAAGATGTTACATGAATCTACTTCACTTTCCTCTTTTTCTTTCCCATGCTAATAAAGTATATAGCATGAACAAGTCTAACTACAATGAAGAGTCAATTATAAAGATTTATGAACAAGATAAAGTTTTCTAATTAAATGAAAAGTTAGAAAGTTCTTCCATTCATAATATCCCTGCCAATTTCTTGATAATTGGCTTAAATAATGAATGTATTGTTGGAAATTTCACTGACAAAACAATGTCTACAAAAAGCAATTTAACGAGACTACTCAATTTTAACAGTGGCTCCACAAAGAAGCCCATTAGTTAATTCAATGGATAAAAAATTTCTTATGGCCAAGAGGAGACATGCAACAGATTTTTCTTGGTGAAAAAATGAGACTTGATATTATACAAGCACTTAAAAAAGGGGGCACCTTCTTTAGCAATAGGTGTCACATGTAATACATATAGTGTCATTGAAGACTTATGAAGACACATACTTGAGAGTATTAAAAAAAGCAAAAAGACTGAGAGGAAGAGGAATAAAGGGAAAAGCATATAGAAATACAAGAGAGTTCCAAAAAAGAAGATAAGAAGGGTAAATACTGGTAGAGTGAATTATCTTATTTGTTAGCACTATTTCAATTCTAGAACCTTGAGAATTTTTAATTGAAGTATTCTTTTATTTGAAGCTCACAGTAATGATTATCAACTTTTACCTTATTCTTGTCTCTTGCATCTCTATCTTTTCAATCTGTAGATTATATTTTCTTTATAAGTTTTTTATCATTGCAAGATAGTATCTGCTTATCAAAGAATTTTAGAGCACTGAAAAGTGTAATTAAAAACAAAGAATATCAATACTCTCTACCCATTCAGGACTATCCACCACTAGCAGCCTGATGCATATTCTTTGTTGAACTATACATTTATGTCTATCCAAGTTTGGGGTAAATCATAACCCCTTTGCACAAAAGATCATCTTGTGAGAAGTTGTCATGTCACTAGATGAACATTTCAAATCTTAGGATCTGAATTGCAACCCTGCCCTCTTAGAATGAAAATAAAATGAAACTCCTCCCCACAAGTCATATGTAATAACTGTCATTTTTTTTGTAGCTGCAAGAGTAATATCTTTGCACACAGATGTGTGCTTATATGTAAAACATAAAGATATGCAATAAACATAATACACAATAAAATATGTAACAAACAATATTTACATAAGTTATCAAGTAGCACTGTGTTTCTTTACTAATATTGTTAGATACTTTTTCATAAGTTTATTGCCCATTTTTATTTCCTCACTTGTAAATTATCTGTGCCCATATGTCCTTAGGCAATTTGTATATTTCACATCTGACATTTTCTTATTGACTTAAACATGTTCTCCAAATATTGAGCACTATAAACCTTTATCTGCCAAAATATTGTGAAATTCCTGTTTAGCATTTAATGTTAAATATTATTTATAAATTATAATCATTTTATTTGTTGCTATTTAGTCATTACTTTCAAATTTTAAAAAAAAAACTGATCCTGTAAAGAAATAATATCTAATTTTTGCTGTTTCACCATCTCATACCAATAAAGATTAGCAAATTAACTGCCAATATTCATTCAGGAGTCTAATGTAATTACTTCCTAAATGTCAGCATGCATATGAGTTAAATGGCATAAATGTTTAAAGTAGTAGAAATAGAAATGATTAAAATTTGTTTCAGTAGTCTGAAGTGTGGGCCAGGGTTTTTACATTCTTAAAACACATCCCTGGTAATTCTGAAGTGGTTGGTTCATGGAACATATATTCAAAAACACTCACCTCAAACTTATAGTATTAAGTTAAAATTATTCTACTTCCCAAAAGGTTCCTGTCTCATGTTAGTATTTTTTATATATCAGTTTATATAATGGGTATTTCTAAAGTATCTCACAAACTTCAAGGAGTTCTTGATGGGCAATCAATCAATCATACCAAGATAATAGGACCCCAATAAAAACTCTGAACACAGGGCATATATCAATCTCACATATCAATACCAAAGAGTAATGTGTCCTGACTCCACAGAGAAAGGAAAATAGAGACATTTAAGACACTGCCCTATGTATTCTTTCCTTTGATTTTAACCTATAATCTGTTCCTGCACTGTGTGATTGTAATAGCTTTCATTGAAATCTGTGAGTCCTTCTACTGAATTATCAAGTCTGTGTTTATTTTAGGGAACTCCCCAGAACTCAGAGTTAGTGTCAGAAGTGAGGGAAATCTTAAGACAGTGCCCTCATATGTTGTAGAACTGCAGCTAAAAATTTACTAATATAAATTTTTATTATATTTATTAAATATGATGTATAGAAAAAATAATTTATAAGTAAATAACAGTTATATACAGTTAGAGACTGAGAGTAACTGACAGAGAAATGGTTTGCTAACTATCCTCCTTAATGGTTTGTGAAATGTCCTAATCAAAGCATTTAATACATATTGAAACTATTTATATATGTTCGAGATTCATAGCATTCTAATGACAAGATCTTAAATTACTGACCCTGATAGTCACTTGGGTTTAGACAGACAGCAGATGCTCAATGTTTGTCTAATGCAATAAAATCCACATAACACAATTTGAAGAGTTTCAAAGATCTCTCAAGCTAAAGCTATAGTCTCCAGTGACAGTGAAAGGGTTCAAATTCCACCATTCTTAATTCTCTTTCCCAGTATGCCAGAAAGTCAAATAGTATAAGCAAAAATCTCTATAAATAACACCTAGCACTTTAACAATAGATTCATTTAGATTATCAGATTATTTTATAACCTAGAAGCTTGAAAAACTTTGAAATTTTAGCAAACACAAAGTATGTCAGTCATGACTCATGCCTCTTCATCTCTTCCTGGAAATTTTAGGACATTTCACAGATGTTTTGATTTTTAAATTTTATTCTACCTTAATGCAATTTTCACAGAAGAATGTTATAAATATATATATATATATATTCACACACACATATATAAAAGGAAATCTTAATGTTCATGTGCATATACTCAAATTTTAGGACAACTGTTTTAGGAAATCAGCTTTGATAATTTCTATGTCATTTCTACTGGCACTGAAAAAGAAAGTGCATGATAAGTAATATGTTGTTAGCAAAATGCATCCTTTATGAAGCTTAAATGAGCAATAATAAATGAGCAGTGAATGAAAGTAATATAACTGTGTAGATTAAAGAACATAAAAATTACTCTATTATGTTAATAAAAGATAAAAAGTTATATATTAAAAATTACTGTAGAACAAGGAAAATAACTATGGACAGTGTACATAATGATAAAAAGTATGAAGATCTTATTTGATAATCAATCCATTCTGGATTGAGGTATGAAGTTTGTATGCAATTTTTGAATGTTCTATCCTTAACCAACAATTAGTTTTCATTTTTATTTCAGAAAATTCTACCTTTAATTTCTAGTACCTATCACCTATAACTAACCCTAAATAGTAGCAATAAATAATGAGCAAAGGACTTGAATATTCTACAATACTGATGGAAGAAAGATAAATACTAAACTCCAACTCATCTATCTCGGGTTCAATAAGCGTTTTAGAACAAGATTTCAGACTAATCAAAACTTAGTAAGTACTTTGGGATTAGTTCCTGTATAGTAAGAAAATAATAATTTAAAAAAGGAACTACAATATCCTAAAGCAAACATATTTTATAGATGCACAGTATAATAAAACACTAAAGAAGCTAGTAAAAGATTACATTATAGAAAAAGGAGAAGAAAAATAATTTGCTTATAAAAGTTGGGAGACAGGTTTGAAGTAAGAGAAACAGAAAAGAAGGAATTTCAGAAAGTTCCTGGAATAAATTCAAAATGCAAAATAAGTGCTTATTTTTAAGGTGAATAGCTAGCTGTTTTATAGAGTTCAATTGTTTACCTCATTTTCTGTTCCCACATCTAAAGTGACAGGCAGGCATTCCTGAGGATTCATCCCTCCACAAGCCGTATACAGAGCCAATTTACCCACAGGGATACCCATGCCATTACAGCCAAGGTCTCCCAAGCCAAGAATACGTTCTCCATCAGTTACCACAATAGCCTAGGAGGAAAAGAAAAATTACCTATTAGTAGATATTCACAAATCCTGAGACACATTTTCTGTTCTCCATTTCTGAAGTTAATACTTATGTAAGGAATTATTAAACTGTCAAAAAATCCATGAAAATTGAATACATGGGAAAGAATTTATATAAGTGTGGAAAAATGGACAGAATAAACTTGATATGTATTTTATATTTATTAAAATACTTATATATGAGTATTTCTGAATCATACATGTGCTGGAAACCAATGTCATCTTAAAAAATTATAAAAACAAAATAAAAATAAAAAAGCTTTAAATACTTAACATATGATTAATTTAGTGTTGAATATACAGGTGTTACCTTAATAAAAAATCATTTTGAATACAAAAAATTATTTAAAATACAAAAAATTTATTTTAAAATACAAAAACAATTAATTTGATATTGAAAAAAAAGAAGATAGGGTATGCACAAAAGATTCAACTTGCCCAAACCACTCAGTCTTTAAGCAAATGGGGCAAACTGGAAGACTAAAGTGAGGTAAGAACTCAAACAGTGACTGAAGTGAAACTTAGAGCACCTTTGAAACTGATCACACCCACTCTGAGTATAGCTACAGTAGCATCCATAGTTAAATAATGCATAACAGCTGAACAGTCCTCCACAGTGCTGATCTTCAGTTTATGCATACTGGCACCACCTTCCTCTTTTCACAATAATGTTGGGCCATTCATTCAAACTCCTCTAACTACTTGAAATTGTTCAACCATATTTGAAATCTGTTGGCATATTCTACTTTTCTTATCTGATAATCTTCCACAGGATTTAATGAATTTTGTACTTTTCTGTATCACTGGTCATGTATACTTTTGTCAGTGTGTTTCTTAAAAACATGAGCCATTTAGGCCAACAGGCATATGAAAAAATGTTCAACATCACTTGTAATCAGGGAAATGCAAATCAAAACTACCATGAGATACCATCTTACACCAGTGAGAATGGCACATATTAAAAAAACTAGCAACAACAAATGTTGGCGAGGGTGTGGAGAAAAAGGAACTCTCCTGCACTGCTGCTGGGAGTGCAAACTGGTCCAACCACTATGGAGAGCTGTGTGGAGATTTCTGGACCTACTAAACATAGAGCTTCCATATGATCCAGCAATTCCACTCCTAGGTATTTACTCAAAGGACACAGAAACATCAATTCCAAAGAACACCTGCACCCCTATGTATATAGCAGCACTATTTACAATAGCTAAGCTTTGGAAACAGCCCAAATGCCCAAAAATAGATGACTGGACCAAGAAGATGTGGTACATATACACCATGGAATATTACTCAGCATTCAAAAAAGATAAACACATGCAATTTGCAGCAACATGGATGGCGCTGGAAGGGATCATGCTCAGCGAAATAAGCCAGAAAGAAAAAGAAAAATACCGGGTGGTCTCACTCATAGCAGGAATCTAGAAAACTTAAATAAGGGACCAGGAAAATGAATAACTATAAGAAAGTGAAAATCAAAATCAACAAAAAACTATGAACCAGAGACACTTTTGGGGGGCGGGGGGTGGGAGGGGAGGGATTGGGGTCAGAATGGGGGGGTTGCAATTGTATGGAGAATATAAAAATAAAATTTATTATTAACAAAAAACATGAGCCATTTAATAAGAGAGTAGCATTGTGATATATCTTTATGATCCAAAAAATAATTTATGTAATACTCTCCAAGTTTTATTAAATCCAAAGACTTGTTACATCTAATTTTCATGAGTTTCAATTTCTAAAAGGGATTTAACATAGTAATTTTTAAGAATTGTTGATAGTATATCTAAGTTGAACTAAATACAAGTTTTGAACATAAAGTCAAAGAAAAGAATTATTCCTTTGAGTTTTTATTCTCTAAGCTCTTCTCTCATCCCAAGCTATTAATTAGGAAAATATGTCACAGACGTCTAGGGGGTTGTTGTTTAAGCAATTCCCCTCCCTCCATTTTAACCATTTGTTATTTTAATGTTTGAAAACATTTGAATATCCCATTTTTTATCTTTCATCTTTTTTTATTAAGGTGACACTGATGTACTGTACTGTATATGATTAAGGGATATAAATTAACACCTCTTCAGATGCATGTTGCCACATCACATCTACCACCAAAGCACCCATGCATGATTCAAGGCTTGAGTAATATTTAAACTCTGTCTTTAGGCATTTGATCTTCCATCTTAGCTCACACCTCATTACAAATGTACATTTGGAGCATTACAGTAGATTTTAATAGTGAAGCAATTCTCGAAATAAAAAATAAACTCATATATCATTAAGTGAATATGCCCTTGGTTTTTGTTTTTAATTATTTTATCTCCCGTTTAAGAAAAATAAAGCAGTTGGATGTTGTCTGAATGAAGTCACAACAGCAGTATTATCTCAGTAAAACAAATAAAATTCTATCAATGACATCTGTGTTAGACTTCTGTTGTAGCTTACCTGGAAGCAGAATTTTTGTCTCTTTTTCTTGTCTCTAATGACACTTCAAGTATTACTTACATGAAGTCATTTTCTTGTTTAAACATGACATTTTATTTTTCAACTCTAACTCATTCTGATTTTTAAGATATTACCTAATAATTGACAACTTCTTAAACAATCTTAACTCCACCACATTTCAATTTTAACTCTTAGCTTTAATCAGGCCAGTCAATTTCCTTATTGCACAAGAACACCTCATTCTCTTCCTGAACGTCACACCTATATTCATATATTCCCTTTTTTCCCTTTCTGATTATCAAAGGCTAGGCTTAAGTTCAGACTTTGCTAGAAAAATTGCTTTTTCTGAATGATATGCTTCTCCAAATGAATGAATGAATATGGAACTTATATTTTAAACAAGTTTGACATTGTCTATTATTTTAAATATTGTCTAGTAATTCATTGCCTTGGTCTCATAAGCACTTTAAACTACACAGTAGAGACTACATCTTACTCTTCATAATTTTACAACAATAAACAACTGCCATTTATTAAGTTTCTGTTATGTGTCAGAAACTATACTATGTTTTTAAAATGACAGTCATTATAGTTAGGATCAAGAATACCAGTGAGGTTCCAATATTGTCAAAAGGATAAAGGCAGGCTAATAATGAAGTTAACTGAGATCAGCTGAACAGAAATAAGGTACTTAATGTCTAACTGTTATGATTATAATGATATTAATTAGACCTCTGTAGGGGGCACAGGGAAGGATTTCTAACCCAGCAGACCGGGTAAAGGAGGAGAGAGTCCTGGAGCCTTCAGTGGCTTTTCAGGCTTTTATTGGGATTTACCAGGTACATGTCAGGTAGGGTAGCTAGGGGGCCGGGAGGCTGGCAGGCCTCCCAGCCCCGAGCAAGTCTTCACTTTTACTGTACTCTCCAGCGTTCTCTCACATTCTGCTTCTCTTGGTTCTCCTTCTCCCGGGTTCTCTGCTCCTACTGGCGTCTCCGTGACGCCGCCATTATTAGCCCAGTCTTAGCCCAGGTGAATCCCATCTACCTAGGCCCACACCCTACTCCAGGTGCCTGCCATCAGGCATGCATTCGGGACCACAGGGTTCCGTCATCTATCCTAATGACGGGAGGGCAGAAAAGCCTGACACTTTTTATTTACCCTACAACCTCTCTATGCTAGAATTATTTGCTGTATTGATAAATTCTTAAAATTCTCTCTAAATTCTTGGTTAAAATGAAAACACCCTTCTTAGGAGGAACAGACATTTACACTTGATAGAATTAACACATTTTTAGGATAGTTCCTAAGGACAGGATCTTTGGAAAGTGCAGTATACTTAGTGGAAAAAAGTCGGGGAACAACTTAGGCAGGGAAAGTGAAAAAAATTGGGGATATTGGAAGTATGTCAAAACATTTTGCTTTACAAGTTTGCTTCATGAGCCTTAGAGAGCAAAGTAAATCAACTGTAGTCACTGCTGTCCAAACAGAAAAGATGATTAAAAGAATCTCACTTCAGAAATCAGAACTGAGGTGCCTTTGTACCATAAAGGCATCAATTTATTCCATCTTACTCCTAAAAGATATCACAAAGTTGCTGAGCGCCTAATAAAAGGAAAAGGAAGCCAAGGAGGGACAAACACATCTCAATTTCCTGAGACAAGAAAGGTGTTACAGGGAGGGCCATGTTTAGGAGCATGGGCTCTTGAGACCAACACTCAGTTTCCACCCCCAAGCACTGCATTGTAACCCACCAGTAACTCCCTTTCCTTACTGATTTATCCTAAAAATTCTGGACCTACTAAACATAGAGCTTCCACAGGATCCAGCAATTCCACTCCTAGGTATTTACCCAAGGAACACAGAAACATCAATTTCAAAGAGCACCTGCACCCCTATGTTTATAGCAGCACTATTTACAATAGCTAAGCTTTGGAAACAGCCCAAATGCCCAAAAATAGATGACTGGATCAAGAAGATGTGGTACATATATACCATGGAATATTACTCAGCATTCAAAAAAGATAAACACATGCAATTTGCAGCAACATGGATGGCGCTGGAAGGGATCATGCTCAGTGAAATAAGCCAAAAAGAAAAAGAAAAATACCGGATGGTCTCACTCATAGCAGGAATCTAGAATACTTAAATAAGGGACCAGGAAAATGAATAACTATAAGAAAGTGAAAATCAAAATCAACAAAAACTATGAACCAGAGACACTTTTTGGGGGGTGGGGGGCGGGAGGGGAGGGATTGGGGTCAGAATGGGGGGATTGCAATTGTATGGGGAATATAAAAATAAAATTTATTAATTTAAAAAATAAATAAATAAATAAATGAATAAAAAAAAAAAATTACAGGAGTGAACCCGGCAGTGTCTTATAGTTACTAAATCTCAGATTACTATTGTTATTTAATTTTCACTAGCTCACTCACAGAGGGCAGTCATAGGAGCTACTTAAGATCGTCTTGCTCACCTGGATCCCTCTAGGTGGATTAAAAACATAAGAAAAAGGGCTTTATTAAAGAAATTCAGAAGCTATGTCAACAATTTATTCAACATTTATTAATGTTTAAAATGAATAAATACTAATAAGTTATAAGTAATAAGGAAATTTAGTATCTAAATGTATCAGAACAAATGTATCACCTCACCAGGCAAAATTAACAAGGGCTATACATTAAGTGTTACCTACTAGAAAAGTCGGTCAAGCTACTTAAAATGAAATTGTCAGTGTGTTAGTCGTCAGGAATAAGAACAAATTTGCCACAGAGAAACAATTGGATAACTCACCTTGATGACATCTTCTGGCCATGCATTAAGAACTGAAGCAATATGTCCTCGGTCATGGATACTAATAAAGAGACCTCTGAAAGGAAAAAAAAAAGTAGTTTTAATTTACTCCAAGCTTGTCAACTTATCATGAGCATTTAAAGAATGTCATAAATCAGTTTAACATAACTCCATTTTTAACAAAATAGTAAAAAATTACTTCCTTAACAAAGGACAAGAATCTCCAAAGCATGAAATAAAATACATTGACATCTACAATAAAGATTCTTATATATTCTGAAATATTTTTAGTTAAAAAAATTCACTACTTTTATTTAGAGAATTTGAACAGCATTACAGTTCTACTCACAGCCTTTCATTAAATAAAATATGTAAAAGCACTTTGAAAAACAACATGAAGCTTATGTTACCAGGCATTTCCAGTGCGTATTTCATTTATTATATATTTACAAAGTGAAAATGAGAGCATTTATTGGAGGTGGGTGAAATGACTAACACTGAGGGTTCCTTTCATATGGAACTTACTTGATCTTTGATTTTTAGTCTCAGTTGCTGTTTGTAACTCAGTAATTTTGACTCTCAACCATATCTTTTTTTTTTTTTTTAAGATTTATTTATTTATTCATACAAGCACTGGGTACAGTCAGAAGTGCGGGAGGGTGAGAGAATTCACCAGAGCCAGAGCGGAGAACAGAACAGGCAGACTGATGAAATACACTGCTAAGGGGAGCAGCGGGCATGGCAGGAGAGGTCTGCGCGCCACGTGGGACCCTTGCCAGCAGCGGGGATCGAACTGGCGACGCTGCAGAGGCTGTGGGCAGCTTCACAGCCCAGTGCTCAACCACTGAGCCACCAGGGGAGGCTCTCAACCCATATCTTTAACTGCTCACCACAGCCCCTGCCCTGTTCTCTATAATCTATGAAAGCCTAAGCAGTAACTTGAAAAATTAAAATAAAAAATTTGTAATCACTTAACCTCACTTAAAAATTTTACTTCAGTATTGTTAAATATACCTTGAATATAGAATATCTTATACAATAAATATATAGCTTAATAAATCACTATAGGGTGACCAGTCTTCTACATAATATCCACTTAAACAGAGCGAACCTTGTCAGCTATCCAGAAGCCCTACACATTATCTTCCCAGATCAAAAACCCCTCCCTTTTAAGAGAAAACCACTATCCTGATTTTTTATGGTATCACTATGGAGATGTCTCAAAATATTAAAAATACATCTATCATATGATCCAGCAATTCCATTCTTAAGTATCTAACCAAAGAATACAAAAACACTAATTCTGATATATGCACTCCATTACAGCACTATTTACAATAGCCAAGTTATGAAAACAACCTACTTGCCCAGTGACATATGAGTGGGTTAAAAAGATGCAGTATATATACACAATGGGATACTACTCAGCTATTTAAAAAATAAATAAAAGGTTAAACATTTGTCATTTGTAACCACATCGTGGAAATGAGGGAATAAAGCAAAGTGAAAATAGTCAGAAGGAAAAAAGACAAATACTGGATGGAATATAGAGAAAGAAATATAGAGAAATAAAACAATTAAGAGAAACAAAAGGTCAGACAAAACCAGATGAAATCTAACCATAGATCTGAGGCTACAGAGGTTGAAGGGGTAAAGCAAAGTGTGTTGGGGTCACAAAAGACTAACGTGGAGGACTATGAGTGTCTTGGTGAAGGGTGCAGTGTAGAATATACATCTGCAGAGGTGTGATACTATCCTATGACTCATATAGTAGGCTGTAAACCAGTGTTACCTCAATAAATAATAAAACACCTTTTCATAACAACAACTCTCAAACCTACACTACTCCCCAAATTAACCACGTACTTAATTCCTCCATTCAGCTTTTAACTCAAACCTCAGCTCCTCAGACAGGCCTTCTCTGATAATAGTAATCAAAGCATCTCTACCCTAACACTTTCATGATCTTCCTAACACTTATAAATATCTCAAATCATATTTATTTCTTCTTATGTTTAATGTCTCTCTGCCACCACTCTCTAGTACACATATACACAAAAAGAAGCAAGTTCCTTAAGATTGGAGACCCTCTATTTTGCTCATATTTGTAACCCTAGTGCCTGTAAGTGTGCTGGCACATAGCATGTATCCAACAATATGTGCTGGCTTCAGCGCTGAAAAAAGACTTCTATAAAATCAAATACTTTAAAGCATAAAAAACATGAACAAAAACCCACTCTTATCCTGACCTATTAAGTAACCAAAATTATATTATGATAGTATGTGCTACAGGAAGATTAGTTCTGACTTAACAAAAATACTAATTTCCAAGTTGGCCCTAAACTATATCCTTTCCTGGTTTTATTTTGCCATTTAACAGTAATTTATTTTGTTTCTCCAAAATGATTGTAAGTTCTTTATAAGTTAAATATTTCTTTTGGATCCTTGTCATATTAAACTAGGCAATCAGCAAGATCTTAATAAATAATTGTAAGATTAAAATGAAACATATTTGGATTTTTTAAAGAAGGCAATTTTGATGAATTACTTAAGATGCTCTTGGAAACATACCATTAAATAAAATTTCTTGGGAACTTGTTAGTTAGCCAAGGTTTTCCAAGTAACACTGGTCTCAGGAAATAGTATCATTTTTCTTTAAACAACAGGACAATGAATGATATGAAAATTTATATCAATTAAATGCCAAAGTCTATTACAAGGACATGAGTGTAAGTTTAGTGGGAAAACCACTGCAATCTTCAGTGAGCACAAGTTCACTGAGGCAAAAGTGCTTATACTTGGAGAGGGTTTAATTAAATGAAGGATATATAATGTTCCACCAGTCAAGCATTTTCAGAGAAAAATGTGCAATACTTCCTGGAATGTATCCTTGATTAGAAACCTAGTAAAATATCCAAAAGTATCTCAGCACAGAAGTTACTCACACTTGCTGCTACAGAGTTGGCTATGAAATATTAATCCTCAACATACAGAAATACATAGCTACAAAATGAAAAGTTTACATAAGAAAGTTTTTATGAATGACATTTTAAACTAACCAAATTATAATAAACATATTTTCTATCCATGTTCTTTATCAACTTGTTTTAAATGTTTATTTTATTCAAAGTATATTAAATATACCAATTAAAAATACTCATCTATTTCATGTTAGAACTAAGACAATTTTAAAATGTAGACCATTTTCTCATATAGATAGTTTGAACTTTTCTCATGTTCCCTAACATTGTATATATTCTGTTCTCAAAACAGATTGTAATGTGAGATAATTAGTCTTAATTCTTCATGTTTTCTCACATAATATTCCTATTAAAGTTTATTTCATATCAAAACAGAGTTCATTTCGCAACAGGCAACTTTCTATTGTAACTAGACTAGTATTTTCTTCAGGAAAATGGGTTCATGATTGTGCTCCTAACCCCCTGTGATCAGGATCTATAAACTTTATAGACCAATAAAATTTAGATCTATAAGATAAATTTTGTAATAATCTTTTCATCCATTAGAGAAGTTGATTTCACTATTTTTCAAAATAAGAAATTTAGACCCCAAATTTCGTGCAAAATGTGATTTTGCATTGGTGAGCCCAAGGAGTTAATGAAAAGTTGAGTTTAACTGTCAGGGCTGATGGGAAAAGATGTACTTAAGAAAGTTAAGTTCAGGTAAAAGGTAGGTCTAATGATGAGATGACATCTAGGATAAAGATACAGAACTAGGAGTCATATGTATAGAGTTGAAGGAGTTGAAATTAAAGAAGAAGGAAGAGAAGAGAAAGCCAAGGGTTAAGAATTACAAAATAGCATCCACAATGAAAGAGGATGACTAAGAAGAGTCCTTGAAGGAAAAAAAAAATCCATCAGCTCTGACAGCATTTCAAAGTCAAGGGAGAAAAACGTTAAGAAGGCATGGATCAATATTACCCAATCCCACAGTAAATGTTTAAAAGAATCCTAGTTATATTGCAAAGAATTATTTTTTCATGGACTATATCAGAGTAAAGTAGCCAACATGATACCTTATCACTACCAAATAATTTAGTGTACTTCCTATAAGCAAAAATATTCTCCTACATAACAGAAAATCTGAGACACTATTACTATTTAATCCTCAAACATCATTCAAATTTCACCATTTGTCTCAACAATGTTCAGCATAAGAAGAGTCCAGTACAAAATGTTATATTTAATTGTCCTGTTTCTTTTGTCCTCTTCAGTCTGGAACATCTCTTTAGTCTTTCCTTGGTGTCGTGGCTTTAATACTTTTGAAGTTACAAAACAGTATTTTTGTAGAATGTCCCTTAAGTTGAGCTTATGTGGTGTTTCCTCATGATTAGATTCAGAGTACACATCTTAAGCAGGAATGTCACAGAAGTAATGAGGCTTCTTTTGATTGCACCCTATCAGGTGGTTCATCCCACTACTGATAACATTTACATTGATCACTTGATTAAGGTAGTATCTCCCAGGCTTCTTCACTGCAAAGTTATTTTTTTTTCCTTTTGTAATTAACACACTTTTATGAGATCTTCAAAACTCTAAATACCCTGTTTCTTCATCCAACTTTCAATTTATTCATTTATCTATTCATATCAGTGTGGTTTAGGGTTTATTATTTCATTCAATAGGTTTTTAAATGTTGCTAACTTTTTTTTTTTATTTTATGCCCACACTGTCCCAAGTTTGGTCAGTGGGCACCCCTGCTAGCTGACTTCTATGTCCTCATGACACACTCCTGACATTCTTTGACCCCTTTCTTACTTCCTGTTACAGGATGTCCCAAGCTCATCTTTTACTTATCTTCGCCCAGCACTGGAATCAGCAATTTTCTCTAGGGCAGAGAATGGTATTCAGATATGAGTGCTAGGGTACTCACTGTTCTGGGGTGTTCCTGCTCCCAGGCCAACTTAATGGGCAGAACTAGAGAAGAATATATGCATTATATATATACGTTATAATGTATGTTGGCATACCACACATTATCGATCTGTCCTGATTGAACATGTATCTTTATTCAGCTAGATTTTATCCATTCTGCCACCCCTTGCCTTTTCCCTCC